TTTTTTTTTTTTTTTTGGTCTTTTTGAGACAGGGTCTGCCTGTAGCCCCAGGCTGGACTTGAACTCAGATTCACCTGCCTCTACCTCCCAAATGCTAGGATTAAAGGTGTGTGCCACCACACCCTGCTGACTCAGTGGATTTAAAAAAAGACTACATGGGGGCTGGAGAATTGGCTCAGTGGTTAAGAGCACAGCACTGGCTGTTCTTGCAGAGGACCTGGGTTCGCTAACAACCATCCTCCATAACTCAAGTTCCAGGGGATCTGACACACTCTTCTGACCTCTGCAGGCATTGCTCAACATGGTTGCACTTACTTACATGCAGGCAATATACTCATACACATAAAATTAAAAAATAATAAAGTATTTTTAAAAAAGAGTACATGAAGTTGGGAGGAAAAAGTAGAGGAGGGTTAATAGGAGCTTCAGGGAAGGGAGGGGGCAGATTTGATCAAAACACATTAGATTCGGGTGTGACATTCTCAAACAATTTATTTGTTTGGGTTTTTTTTTTTTTTGTCTTTTTGAGACAGGGTCTCCCAGTAGCCCCAGCTGTCCTGGAACTCACTATGTAGACCAGGCTGGCCTTGAACTCACAGAAATCCACCTGCCTCTGCCTCCCGAGTGCTGGGATTAAAGGCGTGCATCACAATGCCCAGCACAAACAATTTTTTAAAAAGAAGAACTGAAAGGTAGAAGATTTGTATAGGTATCCACAAGTAAATGTGCTAAGTATTAAAATTCAAGGGGCATTATTTAATTTTTAATATTAGAAGGCAGAGTCAAATTCAGGTGATTACATTACATCAATCTTGTTGCCCTAGGAGTAATGTCACCAGCTATTTATGGAAAATTAATTCATTAAACACTCTGTCACAGAAATTCCAAAATCACTTAAGTAAATATCAAATATCATTTGAGTTTTGCTTCCAAGTTAAGCCAGGTGTTATAACTCTAATCTCTGAGACAGAAAGCAAAAATATTTTCATTCAACGCATCAGACTGTCTACTGCTATTTCAAAGCTTCTACAAACACTGTCAAACCTATATTAAGCTTCATTAACATTAAAATGTATCAACTTGTAATTAGTCTAAATGTGGCCTCACTACAAATTTAAAGGGGCAAGTTTTAATAAAGGGCAGGTTTATCTAATTCACTTGTTTGTGAAAACACTAAAAACAATGGAAATAATTCCTGTTTATTTTGTGATTTGCCATAAAATTAGCAAAAAATGGGTGTTTAAGATAATAAACACAAGGAGTGGTGATTTCCATAATAAATATAAACAGAAATCAATCTCATTTTCAAAATGGTTTCAGGTAATTTTAAATGAAATATATTTCAATATTCACTTAATTTCATAAGAAATACTCTTTTTACCTATAAACAGGCAAAGGAAGCTCTAAGTTCCTTAAGTTTTATGAAACAGGCATAGCTTAAGACTTATTGGAATCATCAAACTCACTTATCAGGCACCTATGTGCTTGGCATTAACTTAAACACTATCTATATCACCCCATTTCCTCTTTTCCATAACCCTAGGAGATAGGTAAGACAGCTGAAGCTTAGAAACGAGGATAAGAACTCCAACAGGATTTGTCTGAAAAGGGCTTCTAGGTTGCACTGCCTGCTGGATTCAGCTGAACTGAATCAGTCTACACTGAAATGAATTATAGATTGAGAATGGGACAATACTCACCAGTGAGCAGCAAATGGACGACAAAGGTCAACATGAAAATTTTTAAGATCTTTAAATCTAATTGCTGCTTCAATATAAACAAAGAGTATCCAGAGGGACACTGTAGGCAAACAGACTCCCCTTTCTGTAGGAAAGCAAGCAGAGAGACAGGCATCAATGATACATTAACTGACACTGACAAACGGGTTGTTCAGGGGATTCAGTCAAAGATAGTAACTTTCATTAGGATTTTCAACTAAACTAAAAAGCAATTTGTTCCAAACTGAAAGCTTTTCTATGACAAAAAATTCCACAGAATCACTGACAAAAATAAAAATAAACAAAATAAAAGGCAAATAGTCTGGCAGAAAACATTCAGAATGCATGTCAAATGAAAGATTCATAATCTTGCTGGGTGTGGTGATACATGCCTTTAATCCTGGCACTTGGGAGGCAGAGGCAGGTGGATCCCTATGAGAACAAGGCCAGCCTGGTCTATATATTAAGTTGTAGGCTGGCTGGGGCTAGAGTGAGACTTTGTCTCAAAAACAAATCAACAACAATAAAGATTCATAATCTTGAAATACAAACAGCTCCTACAAATCAATAAAAAAAAAAGACAACTAAAGTTGGAGATTATACTGTGTGCCTGCTTGTAATCCCAGCACTTGGGACACTGAGGCAGAGGAATGGCTTAAAACCAGGACTTGTGGCCAGCTTCAAAATAGTGCGATTCTGATCAAACAAACAAAAACAAAACCATAGAGGGTTGCACATTGGCAGAACACCTTCTCAGCAAGTTCAAGGCCATGGGTTCAAACACAGCTCCACCCCCTCAAAAAAATAAATAAATAAAAGAGGGGGGCTGGAGAGATAGCTCAGCGGTTAAAAACTCTGGTTGTTCTTGCAGAGGACCTGGGTTCGAATCCCAGCAGCCACATGGCAGCTAACAACCGTCTGCAACTCCAGTCCCAGGGGATCTGACAGCCTCTTCTGACCTCCGTGGACATTGCACGACATGGGTGCACTCATACACATGCAAGCAATACACAAATACACATAAAATAAAAATAAAAAAATAAAAGCGAAATGAAGAAGATCTGTAAGTCATGGAAAGAAATACTGAGGCATATAGAGATGGCTTAGAGGTTAAGAGCATGTATATTGCTCTTTCAGAAGACTCAGAGTTCAATTCCCAGACATGACATCAGGCAGCTTACAACTGCCTGTAATTTGATTCCAGGGGACCCAACACTCTTCTGGCCTCCATGGGCACTGTATTCACATGTGCAAACCCACACTCAGGCACACACATACACATACAATTGAAAATTTTAAATAAGGAAAAAAAATATGGTTAAAAAAATGAAGAATGCTCAACTTTATAAGGAAAATGGAACTGAAACACTCAGGTTCCTAACTTAACCCATTAATAATAAATATATATATTTAAGATAGATAATAGTGTAGGGAGAACACAGGAAAAGTTTTATTCTCAAACTTGACAATAATATAAATTGTGGCAATTTTTTGGAAGATAATTTGGCAGTATAGTTACATTTAAAATACCTGTACTTTTTTTTAAAGACAGGATCTCACTGTACAGCCTCGGCTGGCCTGAAAGTCATAAAGATCCTCCAGCTCCCAAGTGCTGGGATTAAATGCATGCACCACCACACTGTAGAAAACATGCTTTTAACCCAGGAATTCCACTTCTATATTTCTACCCTACAGAAATATAATAGAATATATCACATTCTTGTTTGTTTGTTTTTGAGATAGGGTCTCCCTGTAGCCCCAGCTAATCTGGAATGCACTATGTAGACCAGGCTGGCCTTGAGCTCACAGATATCCGCCTGCCTCTGCCTCCCGAGCGCTAGCATAAAAGGCGTGCGCCACCACTTCCAGCCCAGGATACTGTTTATTTAATACATCCTCTTCTGACCTCCTTGGCCACCGCACAAAACAGGTACACTTACATACATGCAGGCAATACACTCATACACATAAAATAAAAATAATAAATATCTTAAAAAATAAATTGACATAATAAAATATGTTGAAGGTTTTTCAAAGAATGAAGATTTGTACTACTATGGACCGATACTCTTAAGATGAATCAACTGTAGGAAAAAAGTGTTTTTGAACACGTAAGCGCCACTTGAAAATGTTTATTTCCCAAACGAGATGCTCATACTCTTCTTGTCATTAAAAACAATTATCAGTGAGGAAAATGCCATTTGCAACAGAATAAGATAGATGCAAATACTGGGAAATTTTCACTGGGTCCTCTAATCAGATCTACATGCTGTATTCATCTACATTAGGACATTAGTAATGGGGTATTTGTGGACGTGGATGACATTCGCCACGTGGTCCAGAAAGAAAAGTCAGTCATTCAGAGGCTTTGTGCTACGGAACTGAAGGATGGAACTAAAGAAAAACTGTAAGATCTTTCCACAAAGGTCTAGCCTAACCCTCCAACTTGTTGACAAGAAAAATGAAGTCTAAAAGTTAAGTATACTGGGCCCAAGTTCACAGAGATAGCACTAAGTCTGCTTTTAAGGAAGGCCCAATACCCTCATGCCTAGTCCCTGAGCTAAGTTTACCCTGGAATCTCTGTGAAGGCAGCTGATGACCTCATCACTCTTATAGATCTAACACACCAAAAATAGGTATTTTCACAATTACATTTCCAAAATCATTTCAAAAATTTGTATTTCTTGGAGCTGAAAAGAAGGCTTAGCAGTTAAGTGCTTTTGCTGCTCTTACAGAAGACCCAAGTTTGATTCCCAGCAACTCTACCCACTATTGGGTGGTTCACCATCACCTGTGACTCCAGTTCCAGGGGATCTAACATCCTCCTCTGGTTCCTGAGGGCACTTGCACACATGTGGTGCATATAAACTCACCCAGACACATACACACACACACACACAAATAAATAAATAAATCTTTTTTAAATGTACATTTCCTACTTCCTGTGTTAATTTATAATAAACATAAGCATTTTAAAAAATACTTTATTAGCTGGGGGTGGTGGCACACACCTTTAATCCCAGCACTCAGGAGGCAGAGGCAGGTGGATCTCTGTGAGTTCAAGGCCAGCCTGGTCTATATAGAGTTCCAGGACAGCTGGGGCTACAGGGAGACCCTGTCTCAAAAAGACCAAAAAAAAAAAAAAAAATTTTATTATTTTTATTTTATGTACTGCCTGCATGTAATGTGAGTACACCCGTGTAGTGCAATGCCATGGAGGTCAGAAGAGGGCGTCAGATTCCCCTGGAACTGGAGTTAAGGATGGTTCACAGCCGCCATGTGGGTGCTGGGAATCAAACCTGGGTCCTCTGCAAGAGCAGTCAGCTCTTAACTGCTACACCGTCTCTCCAGCCCCAAACATAAGCATTTTATAGAAAAAATATGAAAATTCAGACAAAACATCTGTATTTATTTTTTTATTTTTATTTTTTTGTCTTTCTTGAGACAGGGTTTCTCTGTAGCCCTAGCTGGCTTGGATTTGCTATAGAGACAAGTCTGGCCTTGAACTCACAGGATCCTCACAGAGATCCCAAGTGCTGGGATTGTTTAGCCACAACACTCAGCTAAAACACCTGTATTTCTACGTCTACTAAGTAAATAAAACTACACTGAAAACATTTTTTAATTAATTAACTCACAGAGATCTGCCTGCCTCTGCCTCCCAGGTGCTGGGATTAAAGGCGTGTACCACCATGCCCAGCATTTTATTATTTTTTATGTGTGTGAGTGTACTGCCTGCATGTATGTAAATGCACATGTGTCGTGTAATGCCCAAGGAGGTCAGATGCAGTTACAGACCCTTGTTAGCTGCCATGTGGGTGCTGGGAACTAAACTGGGTTCTCTGTAAGCACTGAAAACATTTTTAATATCATGCTGTAAAGTTAGTTTTGCATCCTGGCTTTTAACAGCAAGAAAAAAAGTTTATGATATAATAGTTGGGCATAGTGACATACACTTACAATCCTAACACGTGGGAGGAAGGAGGGTCAAGAGTTCAAGGTCTTTAGCTACGTGATAAATCTGAGGCTAGTCTGAGATCATGAGACCCTGTCTCATAAACTACCACCACCAACAGTTTATGACATAACATCATCCTTTTTTGACTCTATATAATTTTATCAAGCATTCTTTTTTAAACATTTATTTATACATTTATTTGTGTGTAGGTATGTGGGTGCACGTATACATGAACACACATGCCATAGCATTTATGTGGAGGTCAGAGTACAATTTGCAAAAAGTGGTTTTATCCTTCCACCATGTGGATTCCGGGATCCCACTGAGCTACCTTTCTAGCCTTTATCAACCATTCTTTGTTGTTGTTGTTGGTTGTTTTTCAACAGGATCTCTCTAGTCACAGCTGACCTGGAAGTCACAATGTGAAGCAGGGTAGCCTTGATCTTGCAGAGATCCACCTGCCTCTGCCTCCCTCGGGCTGGGATTAAAGGTGCATGCCACCACACCCGGCTATCAACCATTCTTAATTGTGAAGAACTTTAAATTTTAACAATTAGAAAAAAAATTAGACCCTATTTACCAGGGTCAATAAAAACACAGTATTTAGTTTGTTTCCACATTAACTGTTCCAAATTCAAACGTATTTCCCAGCTTAGCTATTCCTCTATGTATCTCTGAGCCCAGGGTGTCACTTCATGATGCCCCATGCTGCTGCCTGGCGATTCCTGCAGGTTCCATCAGGAGTTACATGGTTAGTTTTCCCCCCACAAAAACAACACTGAAGAAACCAGGGAGATCACCATGGCTCAGCAGAGTCCCAGCACATTTGAGCTAAAGCCTTTCTCAGACGTTTAATTATTTCACCTTCATGTGACACTGAGGAAACTGAGACCTGGAACAGGGATGAGTTACAAATGACTCAGGAGTAGGAAATACAAGCAAAAATTGGTTCAAAGAAAAATGTCTTTAGAGAACAGTCTATGAACAAACATTCACAGTTGCTTATAAATCAAATCAGACACAAAAGAGTGCTAAATATGGAGAAAACCATGTTCAAAGTGGGAACTTGGAATGGCAGGGTTCAACTGAGTCTTCTACACTGACCAGCAGCGTTGCAAAGAGATGAACACTGCTCCAGAAAGCTTTTCTCATTTGGTGCTCTCTCAGCAGTCAAAACCCTACCTACAGCTTGGAGCTGGGCCTAAGAATCAAGTTTCATAGAGCTCCGCAGACAAGCACGACTCTGAGAGCCAATTCTCATTCCATCCCATGTCACTTCAGCTTTCACAGTGGGCTGAAGCTGTCAAAAGATCTCACCTATCTTAGTGTAAAAAGTCATATAACTCCATTGCTTTTGGTTGACCACCATAACTAGATGGTAAGACCCTATTGCGGAAGAAACCATACACTTTGGTTGCAGGACCAATAAATCTTGAACTGATCAGGAAACTCTGTCCCTACTAGCTAGCTTTCATAGTGCTAGAAAGTGCTATGCAGACTTCTGGCAGCAAAAAGAAATCAGTGGTCTTATTCAGTGCTGGATTCTGCAAACTACAATACAAACCTGCCAGACAAGATGTATCCACTGGTGCCATAGTGGCATGACTATTTTGGGAGTCACCAACATACACATAATAAATAAATATAATTAAAAGATCTTTTTTAGGACCAGGCGTGGTGGAGCACGCCTTTAATCCCAGCACTTGGGAGGCAGAGGCAGGTGCACCTTTGTGAATTCAAGGCCAGCCTGGTCTACATACTGAGTTCCAGAACAGCTGGGGCTACAAGGAGAGCCTATCTCAATAAAGACGAAAAAAAAAAAAAGATCTTTTTTTTAACAAACAAACAAACAAACAAAAGTCATATAACTCAAAGAAGGGAAGTGTCTGTGTAGCTCTACTCTAGTTACAGTGTCCCTGAAATATAGTATCCAGAACTAAGAGACTAAGGTGAAAAGAATACTAAAATGCCATACAAGGTAAAGATAGTGAAATCAGAGATATTTTTGTCTCCAGAAAAGACTTTAGAGCCAGGTGTGGTGACACACACCTTTAATCCCATCACTTTGGAGGCAGACAAATTTCTGTGAGTTTAAGGCCAGTCTGGTCTACATAGAGAGTTCCAAGGACAGCCACAGCTACTTAGTGAGACCCTGTCTCCAAAAACCCAAACCAAACAACAATAAAAAAAGGGATATGACAGGCTGGAGAAATAGCTCAGTGGTTAAGAGCACTGGCTGCTCTTGCAAGGGACCCAGGTTCGATTCCCAGCAGCCACATGGAGGTTAGCAACAGTCTCTAACTCCAGTTCCAAGGGATCTGACTTCCTCAAGCGCTGCACAACACGGGTGCACTTACACACATGCAGGTAATACTCATACATATAAAAAATAAATAAAATTTATTTTATTTAAAAAATAAAATATTTTTAAAATTTTTTAATTTTATGTATATGAGTATTGTTTGCATGTGTATAAGTACACCCATGTTGTACAATGACCAAGGAGGTCAGAAGAGGGCATCCAATCCCCTAGAACTGGAGTTATGGACAGTTGTTAGCTGCCATGTAGGTGCTAGGAACTGAACCTGGGTCCTCTGCAAGAGCAGTCAGTGTTCTTAACCACTGAGTCATCTCTCTAGCCCCCAAATTAAATATTTTTAAAAAGAGGATATGACAAGGTCTTCAGATCATAAAAGAAATGGCAGCTGTAGAGTCCACTCATTCCAAGAGGTTCTATAGAAGGTTTAGTACTTTGGTTTGAAGGGATGATCTAAAGGCCCCCTGAAACTTTAAGGCCAAGTTTTATCTATTTCTATAAGCGTTTCTGGATAAACCCTTTTTGGATCCACTAAGAATCACTGAACCCTAAACTGCTAAGTCATTGTGGGTTAAAAGTGTAGCCAGGACACCTGCAGCTCAGTATAGAGAACAACTTTTCTGATATATAGCCAAAAAGACTCATAGAACAGGAGTGGCAGACACATTTATGTCATTGTGAGTTTCCAACTCTGGGAGAACCACTAAGCAGTAGGGACACTATAGATTTGTGTGTCAAATCACAGGTCCACCCAAATGACCTCTGACACTCCACTCCTTTCAATACTGAATTGCTGTGAACATATTTTCTTAAACTTTTGATATAATATTTTTATTTTATGTATATGAGTGTATTGCCTGCATTTAAATGAGCGCACCCGTGTCGTGCAATGCCGTGGAGGTCAGAAGAGGGCTTCAGATTCCCCTGGAACTGGGGTTAAGGACGGTTCACAGCCTCCACATGGGTGCTGGGAATCGAACCCAAGTCCTCTGCAAGAGCAGTCAGAGCTCTTAACCACTGAGCCATCTCTCCAGCCCCATGAACATATTTTCTTATTTGGCATACAGCTGTTTCCAAGTATTCCTAAACAGAAAGAAATTCAACGTTTTAAAAAATTGGGAGGCAGACGCAGGCAGATCTCTGTGAGTTCAAGGCCAGCCTGGTCTACATAGTGAGTTCTAGGACAGCTGGTGCTACAGGGAGGTACCCAGTCTCAAAAAGCGCCCCCACCAAAAAATTGGTATCTTGTGCCAGGCATGGTGGTGCAGCCTTTAATCCCAGCACTTAGGAGGTAGAGGCAGAGGATCTCTGTGAGTTCGAAGCCAGCCTGCTCTACACGTCTACACAGCTGGGGCTACAGGGAGACCCTGTCTCAGACAGACAAAAAAAAAAAAAAAAAAAGGACCCCCCCCCCAAAAAAAAACATTGGTCTTCTTACAATAATAGTTGCAACTGAAACGCCTACAATGAAGATATCAAATCATAAAGCTTTGGACTTTAAATTCCAATAGTGGAAAAAAAATCCATGCATAAAAGCATATCATAAACCAAAGGTGGTGGCGTATGTCTTTAATCCTAGCACTTGAGAGGTAGAGGCAGCTAGATCTCTGTGACTTCAAGGCCAGCTAGGTCTATGTAGCAAGTTCCATGCCAGGTGGGGCTATGAGAAGAAGATCACTGCAAGTTCTAAGTTGGCCTGGTCTACCCAGGGAATTCCAGACCAGCCAGGACTACATGTTAAGACTCTATCTCAGTAACAAAAACAACACATACATAACAAGTATGTTACAATGTATTAGTTAAAGGCAACTTTAAAATGTCAATTCTAAATAATTTATTCAAAGAATCCACCATATTTTGAAATTTTGAATCTGAAATTTCTGTCCAAGAAATCATTAAGACTTACCTGTGTGCCATACGTACTGAACCCACACGTATGTGCTAGCAGCAAAAAAAAGCCATTGTATGGGAATGAAGAGCAGACATATTATGTTTGATGTGAACGCTACACAAACAAAAAATACTGAAAAGGCCTAAAGAGAAAAACAAAACAAAACACTCTTTAGAACTTGTTATTTCAAACACAGGTTATTAAAAGCTTGTTGAACAAAATTACTGAATACAGAGCAAGTTAACAGGAGGAAATCTTAAATATTTAAAATATACCATATAAAAAGCAATAGCTAACTCAACATTAAAGACTAGTATTATTCATAGTGCTTAAACCATGAAAAACTGGACCAGAACAAATGTGAGGTTTGAACATAGTAAGCCCTCTGGGATTACTACAGGCAGTTTACCTAAATGAACAAAAATTTTAACACACACAGGAAAAAAAAAAAATTTAAAGGGTGATGGTGTAGAGGTAGCCAGTGGTTAAAAGCACTGGTTACTCTTGCAGAGAACCTGAGTCTGGTTCTCAGCATCCACATGGCTAACTCCAGTTCCAGGGAAATCAAACACCTTCTTTTGGCCTCCATGGGCATTGCATGCACATGGTGCACTTACATATATGCAAGAAAAACATTTATACATGTAAAATAAAAATAAATTTCTTAAAAAATTGTAACATAGAAAAGCCTTCTGCACCCTCATAAACCATTCCTCAAGAACTTTATTCTGAAAGAAGAGGCTTATTGGAATGCAGATAAACCAAAATATTGGCAAAAGATATGCTGATAGTAACAGTAACAACATTGTCTTTCTCTGGACACCACTATTACCAATAAGACCCAAGTTTGAAGTCATCTTTTGGAAGCACAGATTTTCTCTGACCAAAGCACCAGGCCTGGATTGGAGAATGATTTGTCAAATATGGTTATGGGACACAACAGAAATAACATTAAGTCAAAGACTGAACCCAGGCCAATGCCGTTGCTCTAATGCCCAGGCCTAGTTTAAAAAGTGTGGCCTAAGCCAAGCGTGGTGGCACACCCCTTTAATCCCAGCATTCAGGAGGCAGAGGCAGGCGGATCTCTGCAAGTTCAAGGCCAGCCTGGTCTACATAGTGAGTTCCAGGCCAGCTGGGGCTACAGGGAGACCCTGTCTCAAAAAGACAGAAAAAAAAAATTGTGGCCTAGAGATTTCTGGAGGGTCTTTGAGATCCTTTCAAACACCAGTGAGATCTGCAAAAATAAAGCCATTTTTTTGGGAAAGTAGTTGTTTTTACTTTAAAATGTGACCTGTACTGACATGTAATGAGCTTATTGTTCTCAGTGAATTAATAAATATGTATTTAATTTATTGCTGTTTTCTAATATAGAAAATATGGATACATGTAACTCACATTAACAAAAGCTCTTTAGAGTCTTCAAGAATTTTTAAGAATAGGCTGGGCATGGTGATACACACCTTTAATCTCAGCACTTGGGAGGCAGAAGCAGGAAGATTTCTGTGAGTTTGAGGCCAGTCTGATCTATATAGAAAGTTCTAGGCAGTGCTACATGGTGAGACCCTGTCTCAAAACAAAACCAAAAATAATAATTTTTGAGTATAAAAGGAGTTTTGAGAACAAAGTCTGAGAATCATTGCTCTAATTTTTTAAAATTTTATTTATTTATTTATATTTTTGAAACAGGGTTTCACTGTGTGGCTCTAGCTAGTCTAGAACTCTCTATGTGGACTAGGATGGCCTCAAACTCAGTGATCCCAGCACAAGGACGTAAGTATTCCTAATACTTGTGGCCAGTTGTGGTGGTGCAATCTTTAATCCCAGGACTAGGGAGACAGGCAGGCCAGGGCTACATAGTAAGACCCTGTCTCAAAATAAAAAAAAAGAAAAAGAAAAAAACCCACTGTATGTTAGAAGGGTAATTAAACCCCTCAGAGCTGGAGAGTGTGCATGAGAGACATACCAGTCCCTGATATCTGAAGGAATCATAGACGCTCCTGATGAAAAGCCAGAATGGCCACAGGTATTCGAATCGGAACTCCAGGACAAAGTCTGCCAAGAGGACAAGTGCCCACACCACCAGGAACTTCAGGTATAAGAATGTACTGCAAAACATAAAAATAAAGAATTCAAGGTTATCTGAGAATCAGAAATAGGATTGCACTGTTTCTGTTTAAAGTAGACTCAAAAATAACTTCATTTACCACAGACACAATGGAGGCAAAGCACAAAAAGAGATGCCACTGTAGATTTTCTGGATTAGAAAAGGCTCGAGTTCTCTCTGAGATTCACAACTATCAAGGTAAGATGATGCCCAAAAATGCTTAGTTCCATTTAAGACGGAGGGAAAAAAAAACACTAAAATCTTGCCACTATTTCAAAAATGTGCTAAGTGTCTGGCTTTAAAATACTGCAACACTCCCAAAATTATAGCTTTCAAGCTGTTCTTCATTAGAAGAAAATGTCATGTTTGAAAGGCTTCAAAGTACTGCCTCTCCCCACCCTCCGCATCTGCTTGAGTCTTTGAAATTCTTGCTGCGCACCTCCATCATGCTTCAAGAATTCCAGCCTTTTTTCTCTTCTCCATTTGCTTCTCTATACAGCATTCAACTGCACTGACCAAACAATATGTAAATGACTACCCAAAATATGCCAAAGCTGAAGCCTGTCACTACCAAAACTAACTTAGGGGACAGATAACAGTCACTACACCAAGACCTGTGAAGGCAAAAAAAAAAATAAGTCTGTTAAAGGAACCATATTTGGTGATGACACACCTTTAATCCCAGCACTTGGGAGGCTGAGGCAGGTAGATATCTGTAAGTTCCAGACCAGACAGGACTACACAGTTAACATTACATGAAGTTGTCCTAGGGTACTACCCTTTCTACACATCATAGGCTCATACAAAACAAAACAAAACAAAACAAAACCCTCAATGCCAGAAATGGACTTCTTCTCTAGAAGCTGTTGATCAGGGGTCCCAAAGACCCTCAAGCAATTCTGGCCACTGCCCCTGCACTTGGTTACCCATCAGAACTGGATGATAAGCCCCTATTGCTAAAGACACTACATATATGAGTTGTAGAACAAACAAGGAGAAATCAAGCTGGTGTTGACTTCAGAGCCTCATCTCTACTGGCCAGCATTCATAGTGTTGGAAGGTGTATGCAAATTATGGGAAGGAAAAATTAATCGCCTTCCTTACCCAGTTGTGAATTCTGAACTACGACAACTGGCCTGGCAAAATATACCCACTGGTGCAATAGTGGCATGGGAGTAACCAACCACTCTTTAGTTGGATTTAAGGTACACTTTCTAGGATGGAGCCTATACCTGACACTGATATCAGGCTTAGGATCCTGAGGCTACACAGGACAAAAGGGAGAACCTAATACTAGTTTTCTACTAAATAATTATCATATTAAACTGATTTTTAATGACTTAGTGTTACACCTATAGATTAATGGATCTCCTCAACTCTCACCAGATTAGTTTCCTTATGCAACAGATGATGATTGACAGAGAAACCCATATATATATACACACATATATACATATATACATATATATAGAATAGAATACATTAAATTGGGTGGTGGGGTAATACAGGGAGGAGGCAAGGGGAAGGGATCTAAATCAAATTATTGTATGAAAATCACAAAAATTCAGTAAAAAATAAAAAAACAAAAAATACACACACACACACACCACCACCAAAATGCAAAAAGGTCTGGAAACATCCAGGCCTTCTGGGGGGCTGAGATGTAGCACTGTGTGCCTAGTTCCCTCTAGATTTATATTAAACAGACACAAAGACAAACCACTTAGCACACAAATGATACTGTACTAGGCTCAAAATAAGGTAAAAATAGAGATAAAATTATTTTTTATATAATCTGAAACTCCATTTTCCAGTTCATTAGTTGCATGATGAATAATAAAAGCCAGTAATAAACCTCTATTTCTATATTCCTAATCATGTCAATTCCAGTGCAGGCCAGATTTAGCTATGAAAAAAGATTCTCTAAACCAGGTATGGCGGCACACACCTAGAATTCCAGCACAGGGAAAGTGAGGAAGAAAGATCAAGAGTTTAAAACCAGGGGCTAAAGGGATGGCTCAATGGTTAAGGGCACTAACTGCTAACAATGGTTTTTAGCTCCAGTTCCTGAGGACCTGTTACTCTCTGACAGACAGATGCCATCTTCCTGAGTTCAGCTGTACCTGCCTAAGATGTTCATGGCTGGGTTTGTTGATTGTCATAACCCCCTCTTCCCATGGAAGGAGAGGCAGAGAGAATGAGAGTCCAGCCACACCTCCCAACCTAATGATGAACAATTTGGCCCTAATTGCACGTGGCCTGGGAGAGAGGCTAGAGTACACAGACTGGGGAAGACTAGAGGAGGATCTCTCACCATTTTGTGTGGCCATGGAAAAGCCATTATCCATCCTTGTGAGAAGGCTTTCTGGTGTGAACTTCAGGGAGGAACACCCACATTCCTCTAAGTAAACTCATACCCATTGCTCTGTAAGTAATCACAATAAACTCTGAGTACAGTTTTGTGCAACTGTATCTTGGTTTGTACTTGGGACTAAGGGACTAACCGCCTCCCCAAGGAATTTTAGCAACAGGAACCAACACCCTCTTCTGGCCTCCAATGGGCATTGCACACATACGTGCACTTATAAACATGCAAGCCAAACACTCACACACACTAAGTAAGTGTAAATACTTTATAAAAAAGAGCTTAAGCCAGGCATGGTAGCGCATGCCTTTAATTCAGCATTTGGGAGGCAGAGGCAAGCAGATCTCTGTGAGTTCAAGGCCAGCCTGGTCTACAGAGTGAGTTCCAGGCCAGCTGGGGGCTACATGGAGACCCTGTCTCAAAAAAAGACCAAAAAAAAAAAAAAAAAGGGATTTAAAGCCAGCCTGGGCTACACAGCAGCTCCAATCCAGCCTGAGCTACCCAGAAAAATCTTATCTTAAAGTTTTAAAAATTTAAAACTAACCACACAAGAGTATTGGTGAAATGTAAATTTGCTGAACTTACATACTGTGTACGGAATGCAATCTGATGACTCTGTCGGCAATGGCTCCCTAGTCTCTTATACAAAGAGTGGCCCTGTGACCCTGACATGCACTCCTAGGTATTATCCAAGAGAAATGCACACTTGCCTCCACAAAGACACACATGGGAATGTTAGCACCAACTGTTTTGATGATAGCAACCAGCTGCATGCATACCATAGATAAATTAATGTATGAAAGCATAACCAATTTTTAGTATGTCTATCCACTACAACTGATATAAGCCACATGGTAAAAACTCAGAATTATCCTCCCAAAAGCTAGACAAAAACACACATAACATATGATGCTATTTAAATAAAATTCCCAGAACTATTAACTCACCTAGAGTGAGCAGATGAGTGGTTGCCTAGGAACAAAAATGAATGAAAGTACCAGCAGGAAAGTTCTAGAGGCAAGTGGCCCACTCCTCACACTGGCTGTTTCTGGTAGTTCTCTAGCACTACTTAGATGAGTGCAATTCATAGCAAATCACAAGGCTCTAAGCCTCCAGGGATAAAAGATATTTTATCACCACAATAGCTGCTTGCCTTTTTTTTTTTGTCTTTTTGAGACAGGGTCTCCCTGTAGCCCCAGCTGTCCTGGAACTTACTACGTAGACCAGGCTGGCTTTGAACTCACAGAGATCCGCCTGCCTCTGCCTCCCGAGTGCTAGGACTAAAGGCGTGTGCCACCACGCCCGGCTTCATACAATAATTTTTAATCATATTTAGCCTCCCTTCCCTATCCAGGGGGGGGGGGGGATGCTTTTCCTGAGGCTAAATGCTACAAACAAAACACTAAATGTAGAAATAGAGAAGTTAGTTGTCTTCCAATAAGCCCATAATTTAAAAAATTTCCAAGATTGTTAAAAAAACAACAACAAAAAAAAGCTTAGGCCAAGGAGATGGCACAGCAGGTATAAAGCCTTACCAGGGAAGCCCTGAAGACCTGAGTTCTGCAGCGGAAGAACAGACTCCTAAAGTGTCCTCTGACCACTGGTATGCAAGCATCCACACCCTCAAATAGTAATAATTTTAATTTTTTATGTATATGAGTGCACTGGCTGCATGTATGTAAGTGCACCCATGTTGGGCAATGCCTGTGAAGGTCAGAGGAGGATGTCAGATTTCCCTGGAACTGGAGCTGGGGACGGTTGTTAGCTGTCATGTGGGTGCTGGGGATCAAACCCTGGTCCTCTGCAAGGGCAGTCATTGCTCTTAATCACTAAGCCATTTCTCCAGCCCCATAATTCAAAAAAAATTTTTTTTGATGCAGGGTCTCCTGTAGCTCCAGTTGGCCTGGAACTCACAGAGATCCTCCTGCCTCTGCCCAGCATAATTTTAATTTTTAAAGGCTTTCTAAAATATAGTTTGGAAATACCTAATTCTTAATCCTAAATGCCTGCATGACTCAGTTGTTCCTTCTAATGAAAAGTACATTGCTCACTTTGACCTGGGCTAGTCTCAAGTGGTATTCTGCAATGCAAACATTTTGATATGGATGTAATCAACTTGGCTGGTCAAATAAATAAATACCAACAAAATCAAGATTTTGTTTTCTTGGTGCTAGGTGTTAAACCCATTGCCTTGTATATGATAAATATGTATTACCATATCATATCAGCAGTTCTACCAGTAAGTTGCTAATACTTCCAGCACAAATCAAGATTTTTTTTTTTTTTTTTTTTTTTGGTCTTTTTGAGACAGGGCCTCCCTGTAGCCCCAGCTGTCCTGGAACTCACTATGTAGACCAGGCTGGCCTTGAACTCACAGAGATCCACCTGTCTCTGCCTCCCAAGTGCTGGGATTAAAGGTGTGTGCCACCACGCCCGGCAACAATAATTTAGAAATATATTTCAGTAAGGTACAAAAAGACCATGTGCATAGGCTTTGAGGAGGACAAAAGCAGAATCCAGCTTAGCAATTTTCTCTGTGCCCTTGGAAGCCACACAAGTAGAAGATATCAAGAACAGGCACACAAGGCCTTTGATGAGTTTTTATGATGACACCTAATTTGCCATCTAGGGCTAAC